TAATAATAATATATATATATATATATATATATATATATATATATATATATATATNTNTNTNTNTTNTNTNTNTTTTTTTTTTTTTNTNTNTTNTNTNTTTTTTTTTTTTTTTATATTCTTCAGTTAAAATAATTAAATGTCATTTGGGGAGGAATGGTGAAAATGTTTGATGAATAATTTGACTCATTTTATTCATTTTTCATCCTTCAATACTATGCTTTTTATCCTAATTTAATCCGGGTTGATAACCTTGTATGAATGAAAAATTTTGGTAAAATTTGAAAAAAAAATTTTTTTCTTTTTATTTTGGAAAAATTCAACTTTTATTCCATCATTATAATAATATATAAATTGTAATTTAATTGGGAATAGTCGCAGAATTGATTACATTGAATTTGAAAAATTATCAGATTTTGTATATTATTTGATTGTTTTAGTAAGTTCAATTCTAGTAAGTATTATTTGATGAAAGAATACCAAAATTATTTATTTATAAAATTTCTTTAAATTAAATTGATCTAAACAAAAAAAAAAAAAAAGCACAAATTGTCAAATTTTATTAACTATAATATTGATTTTTCAAAATTTTTAAATGAAATTTTAAACTTTTTATCAATCTTTCTAAACATATCATATATGCTAACTAATGAGAATGATAAAGATAACTCAATTAACTTTTACTAATACTTAAATGATCCTATGTTTGCAGCATAATATACCATAAATAATCATAATAAGATTATCTATCAATACATAAACTATGATCCTATATTGTATGCAAATTTTTCAATATTTCATATTACAGTAATTGATCAAAGATTGAACTTTATCAAACACAAAATGCTAAATACATTTGTTAATGAACAATTTGGATAAATTAAAAAGAATTAAATTTTTAAATTACAGATATTGTGTTACGAAATATTAGCTGGTATTTGTTTAATATCACCTAATGGACAACAAAAAGTGTTGCATGCAATAACGGAAGCTCGTGAAATCCTTGGAGAAAGGACGAGATTTCAACGATTGGTAGATGATATCTATCGAAATTACGGTAATGATCGTGAAACAGATCGTGTACGAACAACTGCAATGAGTTTTAATTAATGCATTACTAAGTAGTGGTCCTGCTG